TTTGTCATGATAGACATCATTAACTGTTCTTCCATTGGTAAATTAATTAATTAGCTCATGTGTTACTCCCTTCCCTTACCTCAGATAATTAATGGACCATACCATTTTGATTGCAAGGAAAGATGGAAGGAAAAAATACAGAGACACTGTTTGGTTTTTAGTCAGAAAAAGAAAGTATACATAATAAGAAAGGGAGGGAGAGTGGAATAGAAAACCTTGTCAACTTCAAATCTTTTAATTTGTACCTTCTTACTTAAATAATAATCTTTATTCATACTTGTGATTGTGGTTATAACTCAAGTATTTAACAATGCAATAAAGAAATATCCACATGTATTTTAGAGTTGTAGGATACACAAGGAGTTTATTCAATCATTAATTGATTTATTAATTTATGATTCATCAGAAAATTATAATAAGAAAACTGTTAGATTATCCTACCTTATCTATTCGGGCACTTAATGTCCACTAGATGGCATCGTAATGAATATTATAAAAAGGAAAGGACAAACACTTTTTTTTTCTGCTCTTTCAATCCTAGGATGAAGTCATGGAAGGATGTCATGTCCCCTTTGTGGAAACAGTCCCCAGAATGACAACTTTAATTTTAACCAAACGATATGGCACACATGTATTTTCTAAAAATTAATCACATTAATATATATTTTTTTTTTTTTACATATTTACTTATCTAAGGAACAAATTAATTCAAGAAGAGAGAAAAATATACCTGTGTGTACACAGAGCACAGCAAAATGTGTGTTTGTGTGTTTATTTAAATCAGCTATTTTCTTCAATAATTGTTGGGCTCATGCCTTCTCCAAGTCCATCAGACAGGGGCAGTAATGGTTTTTAAACTGTTACACTGACCCATGACATGTTGTCAGTAATCCTGAATTCAGTTTGTCATCAATGACACCACCTCTCTACTTACACTATTTGTCCTATGATTTTATGCGCTCATATTTGATAGGATAAAGAACAAAGAAGATACAAACAGGATTCACTTTTATTAAAATTCATCAGAAAATGAAATATGGACGAGAAAGAAAAAAATTTTTGTATTTTATTTTTTATGTTGCTTCCTTTTCATGTGTATTGGTTTTGATCAGCAGTGTTCATGTGTATGTGTATTTTAGTTTGTGTGTGTGTGTATTCTAATTCGTGTGTGTGTGTGTGTGTGTATTCTAATTCGTGTGTGTGTGTGTGTGTGTGTTCAAATTCGTGTGTGTGTGTGTGTGTGTGTTCAAATTCGTGCGTTTGTGTGTGCGTATTCTAATTCGTGCGTTTGTGTGTGCGTATTCTAATTCGTGCGTTTGTGTGTGCGTATTCTAATTCGTGCGTTTGTGTGTGCGTATTCTAATTCGTGCGTTTGTGTGTGCGTATTCTAATTCGTGCGTTTGTGTGTGCGTATTCTAATTCGTGCGTTTGTGTGTGTGTATTCTAATTCGTACGTTTGTGTGTTTTGTGTGTGTGTGTATTCTAATTCGTGCGTTTGTGTGTGTGTGTGTATTCTAATTCGTGCATTTGTGTGTGTGTGTGTGTGTGTGTGTGTGTGTGTGTGTAATTCGTGTGCGTGTGCATATTGTAATTTGTGTGCGTGTGCATATTGTATTGTAATTTATGTGTGGGAATCACTTGATAATGTGTGCATCTAGTGGGCATTTTTATTTCCGTTAAAAGTCCATGTTGATTGGAGAAGTTTTATGTAGCAGTGAAAAAAATTTGTTACACCAGTTGTCAATAAAAATAATCTTAGATTCTTTAAGTATGCGTTTTATAAAAGTTAATGACATAATCAAGTATGTGTGGTATGTGTTTATTCATGGGAAGATATTTATCAGCATTCATTCTAAGTATTTTCTACATAATAAATTGTGTTCTTTTCTCATCAGGGTGGAGTTTGTGAAATCAAAGACATGGCCTGTTATATTCCTGTGTGTAAGAAGTGAATTTCAGGGGATGTCGCAATGTAAGTTTCTCTCATTCATAAATGCAGGTGCTTAAATTTCTAGAAGTTTCACCAATATATGATAAATATTTCCTATTTGTTCTTTATCATCATTCTGTCAGATTCTAATCCATATTTGATACTATACAAATGCAATATATATATATATATATATATATATATATATATATATACCCTGATGAGTGTATGGAGCAATTATTAGATTGTCCATCTACAAAATGTTAGAGTTAGGATGCTGAAGGTAACATCAATCAACTAAGTGACAAATTTTATGTTTGTATATATATATATATATATATATATATATATATAGCGTGCTGGTGTTAAAATAGTACTCAGTGTAACATAAGAGCTATTAATTACATATTAATAAATATATTATCTCTGTTTTATTAACACCAGCATTAGATGTGCTATATATATATATATATATATATATATATATATATATATATATATATATATATATATATATATATATAAGAGAGAGAGAGTTTTCAATCATTTAACTCAATTATAGGGCAAAATCTGAAACAGAATCTTTTGTCAATATACCTCTTGCACTTTAGTGGCCTTATTGCCTTGCTTAGGGTGAAGTGATTAAAAAAAATACATTTGTAAAAGAAATTTACTTTTAATACTTGATTTTCAACAGCTTTTGGGATATATCAGTTACACTAACATCGCATTCAGATAGTTCAACAATTCAGTCAGGATACCAGGAACTTAAAATTTGAAATCTTTTAAGCTGATAGGGTTAGAATCTGTGTAAACAAATATTTTGATTACATTGATAACATTAATGTTAAAAATATAAAACCTGATGGCCAAAATTGATTTAAAACTTGTAACATTATACAAAACTATAAAGTCAGCAATCACACAAAAAAAGTATTTGATAGGATATGATCTGAAGAGTTACTTGAAATACTAGAAAAGCTTGATTTACACAGGAAAGATCTATGACCTCTACTGGAAACAAAAAATGCAAATAGAGAAGGAGTTCAGTGCATGCATAAAATAAAAAGGATACATTTTCTCATTGGATTTAACCTCTTCATAATCCTAAGAGAACTGGAAGCTCTCCAGAATTTATTATCATGTGACAATCTTAACAATATAAGTGTTATAGTGGAACACACCTATTCTATAGTTAATAGACTCTCCCACCTAGAATAAGTAGGAGTAGTAAGAGTAACGAAGTCGCTCAGTGAGTTGGTCAGTCAGTCGGTGCCGGATGACCATTAGCTGGATACTAAAGTATCAGCGACCACAACTAGATTTTCTCTGCGTCATACCTATTATATAAAGTTCCTAACGTTTTGTATGTCGAACCTATTTTAGGACCGACTTAGTACAAATACAAGCCTCCACTGTATAGCAATAAGATATTCAACTGATGCTATATTAATGGCAGTCTCTAACCTTTAGTGAATGTCAATATGGATGACAACACTTTATAGGTGCACATCCAAAACTAGTTGAACAGAACCTGACAGCTGATTTCTCCTCTGACACAGCCCTTATGTCAATGAGGGAAGGACTAGCTTGCAAAATTTAATATGGCCAAAACCAAATGAGTAACAGTCCACCACCATCACTGAGCAGAACTTTCACCTATCATGATGGATGGATGTTCTCTTAAGGTGGTTCCTTGCCTTGAACATCTATTAGGGACTCAAGCTTACCCCACACCTTGTGAAATTCATATATCCGGTCTACTGCTAAAGCTGCTGGAAAAATGGTCAGTTCCTTGTAGCACACCAATAAGTATCTGAGTTTCTCTGCTATACTCTATCTTTACAAGAACCAGATTTGAACAAAAATGGAGTATTGCTGTCATAACTGGACTGGAGCTTTTCAATCCTGACTTGACTGTCTTGATAGGGTTCAAAAGCATCTACACAGCCTTGTGGGTGATGAATTATTTTCCACCCTACATATCCTTTTCCACAGACGAAATATTACAAGGAAACTGAAACTTACAATCAGAATGAGGCACTTACAATTTCTAGGATGCATAATAAGGAAAGAAGACCAGAAAAATATAACACACATGGGGTATATGTGAACAAGAGAAACAGGAGGGAACATTGATTTACTTGAGTAGTTTGATGGCAGAATAAGGACAAAGACGCTTAGTAAAAAGGCAAAAGTTATTTAAAGGAACAAAAACAAAGTTGTGGAGAGCCATGATCACTCCTGATTACCTGAATTCAAACTGTTTTTCTGAAGGATTATATCTGAGTCTCTCTTTGGTCTTTTGAAAATGTTCCTGGTATTTTTGATTCAAATAGATGCAATCTTTTAACATTGGAATCAACACTTCTCTGAAAAAGAAAAAAGAAAAGAATATTGCTTTGAAAAATGTTATTTTTAATAGCTGTAAACTATTTTATATCATAACTGAACAGATGACAAATTCAATGTACAGGAAGTGTAAATTAATTTTCATTATCTTACAAATGCTAAAAATAAAATTGGTATACAATGAAAATATTAATGTATCTTGAAAACGATAAATAAAAAAAAAAGCAAAACATTTCTCATCTTAATAATTAACTACATTTGAATTTTTTTTTAAAAATATTCAAATCCATTTAAACTATTTAAGCAGGCGTATGTCATGAAAACCAGACCACCATATTTTTTATATGTACAGGTTTTTATAGCAAGGGAAGTAACTCCTAATTACCTTGAGGAAAAATGACTGACTTATTTCCCTTGTTTAATTGGGCGTTTCCATATACGTACAGTACATTGGTTGATTTTGTTCAACTTCTAGGGGATATTTAATGTCGATATCTAAATATTTTGTACATAATTTTTCTTTTTTTATTGGGCGATAATAATGGTTTTAGTGATAAAAGTCTTACTAATTAGTAGCTGGTGGAAGAAAAAGTAGATTCATACCTTTCCTAAGGGTATTTGCACATAAATGAATATAATGAACCTAATGGGAATTGAAACTCAGCTCTCTGATTAATAATTCTGAGCTATTTTCCATTATACCACCTGCACATCCAAGCTTACAACACCTGGTATTCTAAAGTGGTCACCCATATAAGTACTAACCAGGCTCGTCATTGCTTAATTTCAGTGACCATAGAGGAACTGGTGTTTCAACATCCGCATACATTTATCTACTGTATTGAATATTTTCTGGTATACAAAGACAGACACCATTGAGATCAGTTTTATTGCTGGATGAAGTCTTTTATGGGCAGGAATGTGCCCTTAAATTTTCCTATCCCATAATTTTAGGAATATGTCAGTGGAACTAGAACAGATACAACATTTTTTTTTTTTTATTATATTAATAAATACTTGTAGGACAACACAAACTTTACTATATAGTATTATTTCTTTGGCTTTTTGTTAAGGTAAACAGTAAATTCAAGTAAAACAACAGACATAGAATCTAAAGTGAAAATTTAAGTTAATAGTTTTTAAGACAAGCTGTGGATGGCAGACTTCTTTATAATACCAGGGTATTTTTGTAACACTAGTGAAATTGTTATTCCCCACCTTTAAGTGGATATAATAATATGAATGATATCTGACCTTATATATTTCTCATGAACATCAGAAGTTTGTGCTGGGCCAAAATCAAAACTGTGATTGCAAATGCTGATTTTCAAGGATCACAGGCTGTCACTATCTGAATGACTAACATAACAATTTTACTCTACAGTTTCATTACTAATTTTACCTGCTGTCAATGATTTTCAAGCAAAAAACACTGTTCACATGGGAGAAATTTTGAATATAAAATTTCAGTCCTATAGACAAGTAACTCAGAAGTATAACAAAATAGTGCTTACCTTTGATAACATGAACGGACTAAGGAATAACAGGTGACTTGAATCTTTCACATTTAACATTACATTTTATTCAACACCTGATTCTGTTATAGCGATTGCTATGTTTTTCACACCCACATACACTCCAAATCATTTTATTCGCCTGCGATTGGCTAATAAATTACTACTACCTTTGCATAGGACAATTTAGCCATCGCAGTTGTTCCTCTGAATCTTTTGGTTCTGAGCATACTTACCTATTCTGTTTAGTATGTGTGTAGTGATTGGTTAATTTTTAACCAATCATATTTTTAATGTAAGATCAAGTTTTCTCACGGTTCCGTAGGAGCTTACCTCTTTTTCTTAAATAGGGAGACTTTTCTCAAGTTGCCAGTAAGATCCCAGCCATCAACACAAATCCACGATCTTGCTCATCACACTCTAACGCACACACAGACACAGAATTTTTTAATTACAAACTTACATTTACTCTCTGTAACTTTTGTCAAGCACAATCAACCAGAACTTTGTTGATTCGAACCAGTTTATTCACAACACATTTCAAGAAATTGTATTCGTGGTGTTATTCATTCTTCACATGCAAACTTTGCTCTAACAATCATTTCGGAACATTTATCTCACAAGAGAACTTTCTTCAAATGGTTGATTACAATCAATCTACAGTCAAAGGGAAAGAACTTCCTTCACTTTAATCTACATTGTGAATACAATTTTATTTCATGCTTGTTGTATTTTATTCAATATATATTTGTTGGTTAACAAATTGGAGTTGTTATTATTTCTTGAATCCTGTAGGTGGAAGAATCATTAATATAAATAGTAGTAGTACCTATATATTTGGTGTTCCTGCTACATTTAGTGAATCGACCTGACACTATATTTGGTACATAAGCTACAGTGTCAATTACACATGGTTAATATATGGGAAAGGCTCCGTGCATTGTATTCCAAATTTTACAATTAGTTCAAAAGGTCACACTTAAGGAATATGGAAATTATCAAATTTATTAATCCATGTAAAGGTGAAATGACACAGTATCAAATATCACCGAAATTGAGAATTTTATTTTCAGCTGTTGTATGAGTAGAAAAGAAAGGAAACTACCACAGCTCATTCTGGCTCTAGATCTCAAAAAATGCAATCTGTGGGGTGGTCTACCCAACATGAACCCAAACAATGCAATTTGGAGGTTGTCTACCCAGGGTGGTCCCAAACAATGCAATTTGGGAGTAGTTTATCTGGGAAGAAAGCCAAACAATGTAAATTAAAAAAAAAAAAATTACCTTGGATGATCCCAGATCTTGCTAACATCATCTAAAAGGTAAGATTTACAAGTTGATATCATCTGGTTAGTAATCTTTACAAACAAGGAAGTCATTCGTTCAGATGTGTTGTAGTACTGAGAGATGCAATAGATCATTCGAATTGCATTCATCATACTAGGGAGGTGTTCAACAATCGACACCTGAAAAAGGAAATAAACAAAACAACTGTTTATTCAACAAAATATCACAAGAAACTTGCTTCTAAACAAGAATCTAAAAAGTCTGTGGATAGATTAATATTTAAATTTAAGATCTAACAAGGAATTTCTGTCAAACTTGGACCTTCATGCATACAAAAGCAACATGGTGTATCAAAAGGACGTTTTTTTTGGGGGGGGGTCAGATTTTTCTTGGAAGAATTTTTCAGATTTTTCTTGGAAGAATTTTTCAGATTTTTCTTGGAAGAATTTTTCAGATTTTTCTTGGAAGAATTTTTCAGATTTTTCTTGGAAGAATTTTTCAGATTTTTCTTGGAAGAATTTTTCAGATTTTTCTTCTTTTTTTTTTGCTTGATGCATGAAAATCTTTCTGAAATATTTTACTTGTAAAATAAAAATGGCTTATAAAATAAGAACTAGATGATATCCGTAGATATGGGCAATGGAACAAAAAGTCTAGCCTGTAATTAAATAAAGGGTTCAGTTCAGAATTCCCTGCAGGCTTCTCAGGTTGATAAAGGAGCTGAGGAAGGCTGAAAAGCACAATGGCAGAATAAAGATGATGACAGTAGTCTGAATGTAAATAGTGTAAATAATGATAACTCCTCATCCCTAAAATTCAGACAGAATATCTCAACCTTTATTAGGTTATTTAATATCAAATACAAATCTTAAATCATAATGAATTAATAGATAGTTAAGTATAGATAAATAGATAAGTAATATAGAGGTTAGGCTTAAAACTTAGTCTGCAAGTATCTACCAAAAAGATTATCATTTTGTGGTGTTGAGGGAGGATCTTAATTTCTTGCAGGCAATACAGCCAACATTCAAACAGGATATGATCTTGGAATATCCATATAACCAAACATGTACATCAACCTCAGTACATCATTTAGTCCACAGTTTAAAAAGAAGAAAGAAAAATCCATTCTCCCCCCCTAAACTATCATTAAATAGCAGAGAAAACTGGGCTCTCCAGCTGTTATTGGCAACCACTCAGAGAGAAAAACATTTCTGAATTTAAAATTGGAGAGGGCAATGGGAAGAAACTAGCTTTCCTTGAAACAATTATGGCAATGTATCTTTTAGAGATACTAAAGTGAAGAAATATTGCCTCTGTACTAAAAGGGGCACAGAACTTTGGAAAGTAATGGATACGCTTTTCTCAAGTAATTACTTAAATTTTCAAATACTTTGCTGATTAACTCCCAGTCATAAAAAATTTACATTTCATCATTTCTAGTATAGTTTGTTTGTTTAAAATTTAATGACCCATCAACAGCAACAGATCATTTAAGGTCAAACAATTGTTTTTTGTTTTTTTCCTTTTTCTTTAAATAATGTTGAAATGCTTTCAAAAAGACTTTCATTTTTCCTTTCCTTCTTTTTCAATGCTGCCTTACTTTTTTTTTTTTTTTTCACTGTTTTCAGAGGTGCGTTGTTCTTTGAAAATTTCTCACCTGGCAAGTATCAAAGTTTCCCCCCTTCATCATCAGACACCAAATTGGAATTAGATTTTATTATATAGTCCAACTTTCCTAAGAAAGGTAAAGATCAAATTAGGGTTTGATTTTTCGAAAAGTTCTTTCAAGTTGTTCACGTTGTAAAATAATTTTCGAATATGTGCCATGTCACCACAATCAAGCAGGAAGTGCTTCACAGTATAAGCCTCCTGGCATGCTATGCATTCAAGAGGATCTTCGTCTTTTAGGAGGAGGGAGTGAGTTATGTGCGTGTGTCCTATGTGAATACGGGATAAAACCACTTCTTCTTTGCATGATTTTCTGTGTTCAGTTTGTTGTTTCTTTAGAGAGGGTTTGATTTTAAATAATTTGTTGTTTTGACAGTTGTTCCAAGCATCTTGCCATTTCTTCAAAATAAAGTCATTTATTAGGGGTTTATAGTCAGTGTATGGAACCTTTATGTTACTTGTGTTAAATTTCAGAAAGTCTTTTGCAGCCACATCAGCTTTTTCATTTCCATGAAAACCAGAGTGGCTGGGAATCCAACAGAAAATGATGGTTTTATTTTGTCAGATTGCATGTATTCTATGTAGGACTTTGATGAGCAAAGGATTGTTTAATTTTTGGTTTTTTAATGATTCGAGTACTGATAATGAGTCTGCAAAAATAATGAATTTATTTGAGTTAAGTTTAAGTGATGAGGTCTAGAGCTAAATCAATGGCTGTCATTTCAGCACTAAAAATTGAGGAGTTGTTAGGTAATCTTTTCTGTAGAACAGTACTTTTAAAGACAGCCGCACATTCTTTGTTTTTGACTTTAGAGCCATCGGTAAATATGTGGGCCCAATTTGGGTATTGTTCCAGAATATCATTTAGTTTTTCTATATAGTATAAGGGGTGTGTGTCAGATTTAGTGTGGGCAGCCAGTCTTAAAATGACTTTTGGTCGTTCCAAAAGCCAAGGTGGATGTTTGGGTAGCTTGAATTCATGTATACTATTTTTGTCTATCAAACTGTCTGTAAGTGGTTTTATCATTTTTTCCATGTAAAGACCAAAAGGTTTGATAACATTCTTTTTTGTCAAACAGATGTTTATAGTTTGGGTTGAATGTGCATTGATAGGCCGAATTTGATGGATTGGATTTGAGTTTTAAGTAATATTGTATAGCTAATTTCTCACGTCTCAGTTTTAGAGGAGCCTCATGAGCTTCAACATATAGGCTTTCTCTGGGAGATGTTTTAAAGGCACCCAGAGCAAGTCTTAGACCTGTGTGGTGGATGGGGTCAAGAATTTTTAGGTAGGATTTCCTGGCCATACCATATATGAAACTTCCATAATCCAATTTGGATCTTATT